AACTGTGGAATTATGGAATTTACCAACCGTGGAACTTTGGAATTTATAAAGTTCTGAATTTTGGAATATATGGAATTCACGAACTGTGGAACTTTGGAATTTATAAACTTCTGAATTTTGGAGTTTATGGAATATACGAACTTTGGAACTTATGGAATTTACCAACCGTGGAACTTTGGAATTTATACAGTTCTGAAATTTGGAATGTATGGAATTTACGAACCTTGAAATTTATAAATCTCCGAATTTTGGAATTCTTGGAATAAACGAACTGTTGAGCTTTGGAGTTTATGAATCTCTAAATTTTGGAATTTATGGAATTTACGAACTTCGGAGTTTATGGAATTTACGAACTGTGGAGCTTTGCAGTTTATAAATCTCGAAACTTTGGAATTTATGGAATATACGAACTTTGGAATTTATGGAATTTATAAAGTTCTGAATTTTTGAATATATGGAATTCACGAACCGTGGAACTTTGCAGTTTATAAAGTTCTGAATTTTGGAATTTATGGAATTTACGAACCGCGGCACTTTGGAATTTATAAAGTTCTGAATTTTGGAATTTATGGAATTCACGAACCGCGGAACTTTGGAATTTGTAAACTTCTGAATATTGGAATTTATAGAATTTACGAACCGTGGAACTTTGGAGGTTATAAAGCTCTGAATTTTGGAATTTATGGAAGTTACGAACTTCGGAATTTTATGGAATTTACGAACTGTGGAGCTTTGGAGGTTATAAAGCTCTGAATTTTGAAATTTATGGAATATACGAACTTCGGAATTTTATGGAATTTACGAACTGTGGAGCTTTGCCGTCTATAAATCTCCGAATTTTTGGCATTGATGGAATATACAAACTATGGAATTTATGGAATTTACGAACTGTGGAGCTTTGCAGTTTATAAATCTCCGAATTTTGGAATTTATGGAATTTACCAACCGCGGAACTTTGGAATTTATAAACTTCTGAATTTTGGAACTTACGGAGTTTACCAACCGTGGAACTTTGGAATTTATAAAGTTCTGAACTTTGGAGTTTATGGAATTTACGAACCGCGGAACTTTGGAATTTATAAACTTCTGAATTTTGCAATTTATGAAATACACGAACTTTGGAATTTATGGAGTTTACGAACTGTGGAGCTTTGCAGTTTATAAATCTTCGGATTTTGGAATTTATGGAATTTACCAACCGCGGAACTTTGGAATTTATAAAGGTCTGAACTTTGGAATTTATGGAATTTACTAACCGTGGACCTTTGGAGTTTATGAATGTCTGAATTTTGGAATTTCTGGAATTTACGAACCGCGGAACTTTGGAGTTTATAAAGCTCTGAATTTTGTAATTTATGTATTTTACGAACTTTGGAGCTTTGCAGTTTATAAATCTCCGTATTTAGGAATATATGGAATTTACGAACCGTGGAACTTTGGAGTTTATAAACTTCTGAATTTTGGAATATATGGATTTTACGGACTGTGCAACTTTGGAGTTTATAAATCTGTGAATTTTGGAATTTATGGAATTTACGAACTTGGGAATATATGAACTTCCGAATTTCGCAATTTATGGAATTTACGAACCGTGGAACTTTGGAATTTATTAACTTCTGAATTTTGGAATTTAACGAACTGTGGAACTTTGAAGTTTATAAATCTCTGAATTTTGGAATTTATGGACTTTACGAACTGTGGAGCTGTGGAGTTTATAAAGCTCTGAATTTCGGAATTTATGGAATTTACGAACTTTGGAATTTATGAACTTCCGAATTTTGGAATTTAGGAACTGTGGAACTTTGTAGTATTTAAATCTCTGAATTTTGGAATTTAGGCAATTTACGAACTTTGGAATTTATGATCTTCTGACTTCTGGAATTCAGGAACTGTGGAACTTTGTAGTATATAAATCTCTGAATTTTGGAATTTATGCAATTTACAAACTTTGGAATTTATGAACTTCCGAATTTCGTAATTTATGGAATTTACGAACCGTGGAACTTTGGAATTTATAAACTTCTGGATTTTGGAATATATGGAATTTACGGGCTGTGGAACTTCGGAGTTTATAAATCTCTGAATTTCGCCATTTATGGAATTTGCGAATCGCGGAACTTTTGGACTAATAAATGTTTAACTTTAGGAATATTCATATATATCGAAAATTCAGACATGTATAAATTCGAAAGTTCCACAGTTCGAAAATTTCGTAAATTGCAAAATTCAGAAGTTTATAAATTCCAAACTTCAGAAGTTTACAAATTCGAAAGCCCGTAAGTTCCAAAGTTGTAAAGTTCGTAAATTCCAAAGTTCTAGAGTTCGTAAATTCTATAAATTCCAAAATTCAGAAGTTCATAACTTCCAAAGTTCGTAAATTCCATAAATTCCAAAATTCAGAAGTTTATAAATTCCAAAGTTCGCAAATTCCAAAGTTCTGAAGTTCGTAAATTCTATAACTTCGAAAATTCAGAAGGTCATAAACTCCAAGTTTCGTAAATTACATAAATTCCAAAATTCAGAAGTTTATAAATTCCAAAGTTCGCAAATTCCAAAGTTCTGAAGTTCGTAAATTCTATAACTTTCAAAATTCAGAAGGTCATAAACTCCAAAGTTCGTAATTTCTGTAAATTCCAAAATTCAGAAGTTTGTAAACTCCAAAGTTCGGAAATTCCATATATTCCAAAATTCAGAAGTTTATAAATTCCAAACTTCTCAGGGTGGTAAATTCTATAAATTCCAAAATTCAGAAGTTCATAAATTCCAAAGTTCGTAAATTCCATAAATTGCTAAGTTCAGAAGTTTATAAATTCCAAAGTTCCAAAGTTCGTAAATTCTATAACTTCCAAAATTCAGAAGTTCATAAATTCCAGAGTTCTAAAGTTCGTAAATTCTATAAATTCCAAAGTTCGTAAATTCTGTAAACTCCAAAACTCAGATATTACTGCACTCCAAAGTTCAGAAATTCTTATATCCTTTATAAATCCCAAATTATATGCTAGAACAAAGTTCGAAAGTTCGTTAATTCCAAAAGTCATGAATTCTATAAATTAGAAAATTCGTAAATTCCGTAAATTCTATGTAAGTATGTCTGTCGCTTGCCTACAGTGCCGCTTACTTTCAAATTTAGTACTTTTACAAAAAGCGGACATCTCTAGAAGGAGCTTGTTAGCGCAACTCAGATCGAGCTAAAATGTGGAATTCACAGCAGAACACTACATTAACCAATGGTGCATCACAAGAGAATGAAAAAAAAACATATTTGCTTCGCAATTTAAATCGATTAAAAAATTCGAATTTCTTATATTTTCGGCAGCTTGAGCCCTAAAGATCACCATACAGAGGTACAAAAATTCAAAATAAATTTGTTAAAAAATCCTTGATTTCATGGTCCAGAAGCCTATAACAGAAAGCGAATCTGGGACTATCAAAAACGAAACAATCAATGGGTTGAACGAAAAACATTTCTGACTTTCGTCACTTTTCTGTTTTACAATATGATAAAGTCATTATGGTTAGAAAATGCACTTTTCAAACAGTATCGTATGTAAAGGGTGAGCAGACAATTTTTCAGAGCAAACTGACACTCACTATTTTTCCATAGTAAGCTTCACAAAATCCGATAACGTTTGGAAATTATTTTTTAACTAAAAAAGTCTTCTTTGCAATGGTTTTGGCTGCACTTGCATGGCAATACTTCTATCCGAATCTAGTTGCAACAGCTTATTTATTGAAAGATCTTTCTGCTTGAATGAAATGAACTTATGAAATATGCATTTGGATAAAAAAAGAATCGAATAAGTATGTATAGATTTCTCTCTAAGTATAAGGCAAACGATCGAAATCTTGCCTTTCACTTGTGAAACGATACATTTCACCTCTCTAATTGAGTACAAGATGTAGAGTTGCTTCTCTTTGTATATTGTAATCGCCAATTTTTCTTTTGTCTTCTAATTGTTTACCAGCAAATAGCAATCGTTGATGATCGACCAGAATACCTTACAGATATAACATAGATTGACTATCCAATAAATGGAAATCTGTTCATTTCATAAATAAATTGATGGTTTATTTGTTCTTTTCTTCAGAGTGAAAAACAAAGTTCTCTTTTATTCTTTATCAGTATAAAGAAAGAGAGCACTTGTTTTTATCTATAACACGACAAGATGATGGTGTGATCGTCATGTCTATAGACGAAACAGAATTTTTTTATAATGAAAAAAGGTATAACATGTATGGCTCTTATTTCTAGATCAGTAGTAGATCGTACACAGTTCAACAACAATTCAAGTGCATCTCTCTTTTTTTTTACAAATCAATGCAATCTATTGACAAAATAATAATTGGTACTTTTCTTGCATTTTTTATTTTTGCTATTACCATCGATTATATTAATTCTGTTGCTCCAGTTAATGAAGAAATTCGAAATGAAAATACATCGAAATGGCTTTGGCCACCACAAACGTTTTTCAAATTATTTTATTGGTGGTGTGGAAATGTTGATCCAGTTTTACTTCATAATAATTCTTTTGTTAAATATTTAACTTGTCTTTCACCATTTCTATTTGCACCATTCTATTTAATTGCTATCTATGCTATTTATCATAAACACCAATGGATTCGTAAACCAATGATTCTATTTTCGTTGATATTATTTTTTGGTTTAAATTATTTTTTCTATCAAGCTTTATTTGGTAGAGAAAAAACGAAAAATCTATTTTTATTTACGTTAGCTTATGGTTATTATCAATTATTTCCATTAATTTTAATTTATCGATTTTGGCCGAAGAAAGCGTTCGAGAACACAATTGATCGAATAAAAAATAATTAAATTATTATTATTTGATTAATGCTGCATTTCGTTTCCTTAACAATATTCGTAATTTATCTGAAAACTATGGCTGATCTCCATTCCTAATCCTTATTATTTTGTGCGATACTGTTTTATCTGCTCCTTCAAGAATACCGGCCTGTAGTTCATCTACGTGTTTATTTACGCTGCTTTTAGAGTTAAAGATATACTGCATAGAAAACAGAAGATGAAATAGAACATAGCGAAAATGGTCCCACTCGACACATTTGTAATTATAACTTCACAATTTTAGATGTCATTAGTTTATTGGATAGAAAGCGACTTCTAAC